CATTGATAGTCGTGCTGTGAACAAAATCACCATCAAGTATCATCTTTCCATTCCTAGACTTGATGATTTTTTGGATCATTTGCATGGTGTTGTTATTTTCTCTAAGATCAATCTGCATAGTGGTTATCACCAAATTCGAATGCGACTTGCAGATGAATGGAAAACAACCTTCAAAATAATGGATGAATTATTTGAATTGTTGGTGTGAATCATGATAGTATGTGGATCCGAACATATACGAAAAGTATGTCAAGGCCTACTTGTCGGAGCCGAGTTTTTCTAATCCAAGGAAAATGATGTAGGAGCGTCCATGATTGTATTTTATTTAATTTAGTTTTTTCTAATTTTAGTCGATTTAGGATTTATTTTCTTTATTCTATTTAGATTGAAAATCTTTTCTTACTTTTATTATGATGTTAATACTTTTAAGAGTTATTATTTAATTAAGTTAGTCATATTGTATTTAAGAGTAGAACATCTATTTGATTTAAGTCTCTTGTTAACTATTCTAATTGTATTAGACAACTAGAAGTAAAGTTTTATTAGGATGTAGGCCTATAATACTATAAATAGGACCCTTAAGCTTAGTTATGAGACATTCAAGTTGAGAGTTAATAAATAATATTTTCCTAAGTTAGAGTGCTTATTTCTCTAGGCTCTTTTTAAAGAGTAAGAGGTTTTAGTATCTTTAGCCTAGCCAACCAAAGTGGGATTTTGGCTATTTTTTACCATAGTGGGGTTTTCAACCTTACCATGATTGATGTCTTTCACAACATTCAAGTGTTTTTACAACACCCCGGCTTCAGTGGGAATTCCAAATTCTATCCCTTAATGGTTAAAGGAAGGCAAAGAAAGAAAAAGATCACAACTTTAAAAAATGATAAGGGTTCATGGCGGTATGACCTCTTTGATTTACAGCAATGGGTAACAAATTTTTATTTAAAGCTATGTATAGATGGAGTGCTAGACCAATTACCTGTCAATTCAACTTGGTAGATAGATGAAAGCACCACCCAAGAGTTATCCAAACCTTTGAGTGATCAAGAAATCAAAGTAACTTTGTTTGATATGGATCCTAATAAATGCCCTAGTTATGATCGCTTTCTAGCAAGCTTCTATAAAAAAAATTGGAATGTGGTAGGTCTAGAAACTCAAAAGTTTGTAAGAGATGATTTTAATTCAGGCTCTTTCTTAACTGAAATTAATCATACTCAAATAACATTGATTCCTATAGTAGAGCATCCATAATTGATATCGTAGTTTAGGTCTATTAGCCTATGCACAATGCCCTTAAAGTTGATTAACAAAATATTGGTTGATAGATTGAAACTTTTTTTGGATGGTATTGTAGACAAGACACAATGTAGTTTCATCCCAAGTAGACATGCAACAAATAATATCATTGTGGTATAAGATGCAATTCATATGATGAGACTCATGAAAAGAGAGAAGGTGTTATTGCTATTGATATTGATCTAAATAAGGCTTACGCCAGAATTAAATGGAGTTTTATACAAGCGATTTTGACAGAAGTTGGTTTTCCTAACTCTTGGATTTCTTTGATCATGTTTGTTGTTAAATTGCCCACTTTTTCTGTTATTTGGAATGGTTAGCATACAAACTCTTTTCTCCCAACCAAGGGAATAAGACAAGGTGATCCATTATCACCTTATCGATTTGTTCTGTGTATTGAAAAATTGTCACAGTCAATCAATCATGAAGTGGAATTGCGCAATTGGAAACGACTATGCAAGATGATGAAAAGTACTCTTTTTATCTCACGTATGCTTCATGGATGATCTTATACTTTTTGGAGTGGCAACAATACCTCAATTAAATATAATGATGTAAGTCTTGGACAAATTTTGCTCGGCTTTAGGTCAAAATGTAAGTCTAGCAAAGTCTCGAATGCTAGTTTCATCTAATGTAAACCAATGACAAGCTAAATGTCTAAGTGACATTGCTAAAGTTTCATTAACAAAGGATTTTGGCAAATATTTAGGCACTCCTATGATCCATGGCAGAATTATTAAAGCTACACATATTGATAATTAATAAAATCAAGAAAAAACTAGAAAATTGGAGCGAAAAATTTCTTTCTATGGCAAGTCGTATAGCTTTGGTTAAGTTTGTTACCAACACAATGGCTACTTATTTGATGCAAACCACTTTGTTGCCCAACCATGTGTCCCAAGAAATTAATAGACTTAACAGGAACTTTATTTGGGGACAATTTGATGGGATTCAGAAATGCCATGCTTTAAGTTGGGAGAAGCTATGCGTGCCTAAAAATTATGGTGGTTTGTAGATTAGGGATACCAAGAAGACGAACTTTGCTTTTCTGATCAAACTAGGATGGAATATATGGAAGGGAAAAGACTGTATATGGGTTGAGATTTTGAAGGAAAAGTATACGAAAGACCATGATTTTCTTTCAATTCTTGTGAAGCTTGTGGAATCTTATGAGTGGAGAAGTGTGTTAAAAAGTAGAGATATGTTGTGAAAGGGTCTTGGTTTGAATATTAACAATGAACATAATCCAAAATTTTGTAATGACATCTGGGTTAGCAATGGTCCTTCACTTGAACTAGCCATAAGAGACATTACAAAAATGGAGTTAGACCTTTTTGTTGCTAATTTCTGCAATGAGTTTGGTGGTTGAGATTTAGATTATTTATCACAACTGTTGCTCTATTGGAAATGAGAATGTTCAATTACTCACGTTCATCGTGAAGTCAATCAATATACTGACTGGTTGTCCACACATCATGACAACCTTCTTAGAGGCTTTCATAATTTTGATCTTCCTCCGTTAGGAATTCTACATTATATTTTTGCATATAAACTAGGAATAAACTGAACTAGAATGATGTAATCGATATTTATTTGTTATTTTCCCTCAAATAAAAGAAATTAAACTTAATAAAAAAATTGATAAAGAAATCATTTCAACATAATGTTAAAAATATAAACAAACAAATTATTTTCAAATATAAAAATAAAAATAAAAATGAAGCTCCACAGTTCAACCACCACCTTCCAACCTCGAGGCTTGGAACCATTGTTAAAGAGTTAGCCAAACCGACACACCAAATCTCTAATTATAATGCCAACTTGATTCTTTTGGAAAGAAATAAGTGTTGAAAGCAGCAGCAAATGAGCATTAACAGACCCTTTTTTATTTATTTATTTATTTATAGTTCAGTTTTGTTGAAGCATGTAAGAGAATAGAGATTGTTAGTTAAAAAGTTAAAGGCAATGGATGCTCTAATGTGTGGGGTCAACGATCATCCCTAATCTACTTTGCGCGGAATTTTAGAGGAAAAGCAGCCTCTCTTCTGTTCAAAAGTAGTCAAATCTCTACAACCTTTGTAATAGACTTTTAAATAATTTATTCAGAGCTAAAACGAATCCACAACATTTTCTTTTTTTAAAAAATTTATTTTTATTTATAGATATTAAAAATTTTAAGCATATATTAATTTTTATGTAAATTAAATTAAATACTCCAACACCTACTGTCGTGGATAAAACCATAAAAAAAGTCAACCATATACATAAATAATCTGAAAAGCCTTTAATCCGTAAACGAATTGATGTCATCTCTATTCATTATGTAAAAGTTTGAGATGGTGATGCAATTAAAGACTTTTCTACATTTTTTTTATTTGGTTCACTAATTTCTTTCTTGGGTGTTCAACTTCTTAATGTATCCTTTTATTTGGATCAATTTCTTAGTAGATTTTAATTAAGTCATAGTATATTAAAAAATTCTCCCACTGTTAAAAAAAATTCTAATACGATTTTAATTTTTCATTATATTCAATCAAATTTTTTATTTTTATAATTAGTTGTTGACATATGTTGTTTTATACTTACATAACATTTACATGAAAAGTTAAAAATATCATATCATGTTAATATATCACATCATTATTTGATATGATAAGTCAATACATGTCATTTTAATATTATATTGACATAAAAGATAAATGACATTTTAAATAATGATAACCTTAATTATAGAGACTTAATTGATCTAAAATAAAATTATAAAAATTTAATTAAATATAATAAAAAAAGATAATTTTTTTAAAATAACTCAAGAATTGTTTTAGATATTATACTTTTAATTAACAAGGATGATAATGGTGAACATTTGATTTAGTAATAAATACACATATTTTTTGTTTTAAAAATTTAAATTTAAATCCCTTTCATTTGATTGAGGAAGCAATGATGATAATAATGATTTTTAACATTCTCTCAATTCAATCATTTTGTTTTAGCCACACAGTAGGTAAACTTGCTAAGCATTAGTTTTTAAATATATTTTATTTTGTATTACTAAATTCAAAAATATAAAAGTAAATAAATAAATGCAATAAGGTGTAAATAAATAGTACTCACGGCACCGAGGCAAGAAGGCGCCAATGAACTTAGTAAACTTCTTTAATAATTATGTCTTTACTCTAAAAGAAAAGGAATCAAGGCTTACTTTCTGAAGGGGAAAGGGTTGTTATCCTCTGTAATGAAATGCAACTGTTAGACCCAAAAAGCCCGGAGAAACTTGATAGCCACCATCTATGATCGACAGCCTGCAGGCATGATCATGTTGGGCAGAGCACAGAAAATGACTGTGCTCAGGAAAGCCTTTTACTATCTTTAATGAGGTTGTGCAGGAGCTGTTGGCTGTAGCATCCTCAGAAATTCAGCATCAACACCAACCAGAACCATGTGACTCAAGTCTGTTGGCCAAACAACATAATAATACCTGCCTAAGCCTACTCAGAAGTTTCATATATTTGGCTACTTGGGAGAAGCCATGGGTGCATTAATGAACCATGATGCCCCATTATTGTGGAGGCCACTCTCTTTACTAAAGAAAGCTTGGGTAGGCTTTCGGCTTTACTGCCAAGCAATCACTTGGCTAGATTCTGATACAAACTGCTTCTGTTGGTTGATTTTTGGGTTTTTTGCGTTTGTATAATACTCTAAACTGATACAAAGGTACCTCATAATGCACAATAGTCAACCATTTCTGGGCTAAGCGTCCAGAAAAGTTAGTGATGTAGGAGAAAAGTACAAGTAATATTATGACTCTTGTTTCTCTTTGTACACATTCCACGAGCTGTATCGTGTGTAACTATAGCTTTCATTGAAAGAACTGATGGAGAGAAAGAACAAGAGCAAGAGAGCTGTCAGTTGCTTTTTTCCCATTTTCTATCTGCCCAAAAGTACCTGGATCTGCACTGAAGCCACCAAGAGCACAATGAATTTCCTTTGTAAGGTACTAACCTCACCTAACTGTCTGCAAACCACCTTTGTGGCAGTGTGTGATGCACAGGACAAATATCAGGTTGCCTCACTATGTAAATTTGATCGCCAACCTTACTATTTGATTCCTGGTTCCGATACCATGTCCATAGAGCCCAAGTCTCATTCTTCACCTACAATCCATGTGTTGAAACCAATTAATGATCACAGCAATTCAATCCAGAACATACCAATCACAGGCACACCATACAATTCAAAAGAGAGAAACTAGAAAAAGTATTGTTACTCGTTAGAATTTTTAAACATGTAAACATTTTGGGCCACATTTTCATCTAATTGTCTTATATGACATTTGAGTTGAATGACAGTTTAAAATTGAACCCAATTGATGTGGTAATTCTCATTTCCAATTAAAGACATGGAAGGATGATGGGAAATCAACACCATTTAACATATATAAATTTGTTTTCTACATATCAGCCAATGCCTGCAAATTTTCCATCAATGCACCTTCATGAGATAAGCATAGAACAGCTACTCCTACAAGGTACATACATGATGAAGGGCATCATAACAATGTTGATGACTCTGGCATATTTCAAATCAAAGTTTCCCTAAGGGCCTTCAGAAAAATTGAAACATAAGGCAACACAGCACATGGCAACTAAAAAATTCAAATTTAATAGATCAGAATATATTGACTTTACTATGATGCTTCATCTGTTGAACAAACGCACGAAGAGAGACAGAAATACACAGAGATACCTCCAGGATCCCATGGCCAAAGCTACTTTCTCTGAAGGCACTGTAATCAGGTTGCCAATCCCAACAGAACTTGCCTGCCGCTGGACCACTTGTGAAGTTTTTTGCACAAAAGCCACCCATATACACGTCATAAGTAGATGATGCCTCCGGACAGTTACCAGTTTCATCAGCATGTTCGATTGCCATCTTTTCACGGTTTCCCCCATCTCCTACTGTGATATGTACTGGTCCACATGGATCTAATGTAAAATTGTAAACTCGATTGGACCTCTCGTATGCATGAACCTAGTGACGTTTCAATCAGAATATAAGTTTGATATCACTAGGAAATAATACACATTTAAGAAAAGTGGACTCCCCTTATAAGCCCAAAAGGAAAGAAAAAACCCTATTCACTTAAATCTTCAGATTCTATCTGTGAATTGAGCTGTTTTCTTTAAAAACAACAATATTAGTTCTTGCTGTCCAATGCTTCATGTTATTTAACTGCTTGCACCTTGAAGGTTAACCTTGGTCCCTCAATGATATGGAAAATATAATTGAATAACCATTGCCCCAATACCAACATAATATTAGTTAGATTTCATCACTTACATGTCCATTAAGGACTATGTCAACACCATAAGTGTATAGTAGTTCTTCCATTTCCACCCTCATACATTCTGCCTCTTTATAATGGGCTTTATACGAACTGTACCATGGTGGGTGCCAAGCAGCCACCAGCCATGGAGTCATGGATCTATCAACCTTAGCTAAGTCCCTCTCCAGCCACTTGTATTGCTCCGCTGCAGAAGAAATCAAACAAATCCCTTAGCAAGTGGTTAACACAATAATTTGGAAGGAGGAAGGGAGAGATGAGAGTTATTAATTTTATACTTCATATTAGACACAAAATACATACACACCCTTAAAATATGTTTCCTCCCCAATAATGTAGACTATAAACTTTCTATAACTGCTTGCTTTATTTCAGAGTTATTAAATGCTTGAAACTATATATTATTCTTGCATATCATCAATTTATATAAACCATTGATCCCCTATAAGGAATTAATCATGAGGGTATTTAGAAACCTACACAAAGAAGAGTTGCACTGTCAAAAGTGAAAAGTAACAGAATACTATCCTTGATACTGTTTTCAAAAAGCTATGTAGAATGATTATACATGGACAGATGTAGTACCTGATTTATTATAAGAAATATAGGCTCCAAGCATGATAAAATGTATTCCACCTGCATTGAAGGAGTAGTAGAATGTGGATGACGATTCGCTTTCTTTGGAAGGGAATGCAAACCGAGAACTGTAAGCTACAAATCTCTGGTTCCCAGCTTGCTCCTCTATTTCATGGTTTCCTTCTACAACCATTATTGGAGTTTTAGAAATTAAACTCTGCATAAACCTGCAGAGAAACATCCTATTAACAAAACTTCAGCAGTTTCTTGCTTAAACTCAGACTTAATGAAAGGCAACTCAACAAACCCTTCTGTCTCCTAGCCAGAACCACAGAAGGAGATGACAAGAAAACAGAAGGTAATAATTCATTATCAAACCTCCCCCAGTAATCCCAACGAGGTTGATAGGTCTCATGTATTGGAGTATCTGGAAATGAGCAATCATAGCAGTCTGAGCCAGTACCATTTGTGAGGTACAGGTTTGCATAAGTTACATCACCGACCAATATAACTAGATCAGGATTGTTCCTTGTCAAATGACTAATTGTGTCAGTTGTATTATATGTTAGTCCAAGATCTCCCACAACTGCTATTCTCTTTGGGTAGCTTCGGGGACCAGAAACTGGCAGGGTCCTGAAATGATAGATATCGCTCAAGGCTGATATTGAAGGATCTCCACATCGGTAATAATATAGTGTGCTAGGTTTCAGCCCTACATAAAACGAAGAGCACAACACTCATTAAATGACTCAAATCAAAAGTCCTCGTTGAGGTTATAAAAAGGTTGAACTCTGAATTTGGTCCCTCCACTATCTCACTTCAGCAGTTTTAGTCTCTCTTAACCAATTTTAAAGAACTTAATCCTTATACTTTTATTAAAAGTCAATTTAAAGACAACTGATAATGAAATTAAACTTCTGTAGTTAAATTTAGCTGCGTAACATTTTTTTTTTTTATGATGTGACATACTAACTTGAATTTTTTGATCACATGGCACACATTAATTAAAAAAAAAAAAAGCTTTACTTGTTATAAAAAAAAAAACTAAAAATTGTTTTCTTAGAATTTAAAAAATATTAATTATTATTTAATTAATATCAAGTATGATGTTTTCCAATCTGATATGTATTACATAGTCAAAAAATTAAATAACCCAGTATGCCAGACCATCACCCAAATGCTATGTCATCCAAGTTAAAGGCAAAACTTAATGACCTTATCAATTGTTGTTAAACCAACTTTTAATAACAGTGTAGGAATCAAATTCATCAAAATTGAGGTAGAGGAACTAAAATTGCCGAATTGAGATAGTAGAAGTACCAAATTCAAACTTCGACACTATAAAAAAGGTTAGGAGGGAGACAATCCAATAGATTGAGTTACTTATAAGCAATCAAATTGGGAAGCATTCAGCAAAAATAGAGGAGAAAAATGCCTAGGAAGAGCCATTAAGAAATGATATTTTTTCAAGAGTAGAATGTTTGAAAGGATATCACTTTTCATTAAGTAATAGCCTTCAATGGTCATCAGGTATTCTTAATCAAGTGTCTTAGCAGAACTCATGCAGTATCTTTAGCCCAAATGTTTGTGCATATCAGAATGATGTGATAAAAATAAAAATTGGATAGTAATAGCATTTAAAGTCAACCTTGCTACTTCAAATGCAAACCGCATGGTAGAAAACGTAAATTGGATGAGACAACTCCTCCATCAAATTGTCCAACCGGTAAACACTATACCAATCCAAAAAGCAACAAGAAAAAGGCCAAAAAGTTTTAATTAGGCTTGTCTTTGTTATGCCTTCTTTGATTTCAAACCTGTTCCTATTAATGGATTTCATCAAATAATATGATCACATTTTTGTCCCTACTTTACACAGACAAAATAAAATTCAGTGGAACCAAAATATTGGACCGATCTTTCAGTTTGAAATCTATATGACACTGAATTAAACTAAGATAATCACTACACCAAACCTGTGAGACGAACATGGTGGATGATCCCAGAAGTATAATTCTGAAGGCCCTCAAATGGGTAAAGTTGATTATACACCAAAGAATAGCCGATGGCTTCATGAGTCAGTGGAAACCTTGACCTCCCATAACGAACCAAACTAGCAACAGTATTAGGGTTTAAAGGCTTTATGGTGTTACCAATTTGGAATTCCCCTGCAAACCATTTCCAATATCTAACTCAGTAATAGATTAAAAAAAAAAACAGAGATAAAGTAAAGACGCTGCTAAATTAAAGTATGAAAAGAAACGCAAAAATAGGAATATAAAAAGTTTGGGGGTTGAAGAATTATAGCGGATTCAGAGAGGATTTTGGAGGACCAACCTGTGACCCATGAGATCCAAACAGAGTCGTAACTAACGGAAAGAGAGACCGAAATCTGCTCGGGCTCGAATCCTTTGACGCGGCGGCGGACACGTGGATCGGTGTCGGGCAAATCGACGGCGTTCCCGCGCAAGCTGACGTCGTACGGGACAGTTACGGGGTCGAAAGGCCCGTCGAGAGTGGAGGGAATCCTCTTGGCGTTGGTAACTACTACCGCCACGACGTCGTTGATCGCTATGATGGAGAGCAGGAGAAGGAAGGAGCGCCAAAACATCATCGGCAAGAGCAGCTTGTACTTTCCATTGAGAGGGAGAGTGTAACTGTGAGTAGAAAGTAACATTTTCACATTGGAGAGTGGAACAAGGGGAAGCTGACGTGTGGCTTTTGTTGACAGTTAGTGACCGTTTGAGCTTACGAAACTCGTCCCCATCTTTTTCTTTTTCTCTAATTAAATAACTCTTACTTGGACCACAACATGTACCAATCAATTTGATTTTTGTAATTGCACTAAACGTTTGAATGAAATGGACAAAACTGTGTCATTTCCATCCTTTTCTTGTTCTCTCTCTATTTATTTCCTATACTATTCCTTATTTCTCTAATTATTATTTTTATTACATTTAATTAAATTTATTTATTTTTATTTAAATTAAATAAATTTTTATAATTAATAATTAATTAACTATTATTGATCAAATATTATTTGTCATTTTATACCAATATCGTGATAATATAAAAAGATAAAAATGTTACATAATTATGTCATTATGTCACATCACTATTTATTATGATATGTCATTATATTATATTTCTGTCACATAGTATAAATTAGTAAAAATTTATTTATTTATTTTTAAAAAAAAGCTCATTTTAAGTTTTTCTAAATGATTAAGAAGGTTTTTTAAGTATCATGCATTTTATTATGGATTCATGTGTCATGAAACCTTTCTCGGGTGCTTGTTGATTTTCGTTTTTCTCTTGGAACTTTTGCCAAGTAAATCAAGATACAACAACTATAAACAGATAATGCCATTTAACTAGAGTAATGGAATTAATTTACTGAGAAGCTTCTTAAGCTAGTAATGGAAGCAAAATCACTCCCTACACCGAAGATTGGGCAAGGCGATCCTAGGTGGGCTTCAAACTGAGTAAATGAACACCGAAATCAGTGCTAACAACACAAACCCAAGAAGGCAGCTCCATTTCAAGAGTGGACACCAATGGTCCCAGCCCGAAATCACGACCAGACAGCAGTTGATACAAATGTAATAAATAAGGTCATGCATTGATTCTACCAGGAGAAGGCTGAAATTTAATAAACAAGGCCTTCTTATGGTGAAAAGAATAAATAAAAACAAAACATGTGTATGTATGTCTGATTTCTCATTAATAAGTTTTCTTTGGTTGAGAGATGTATTGTATTTGGCTCGGGGTATGGACTTCCAATGAATTTGCTTGCATTCCTCAAGATTTCAACAAATACAACCCCCCAACCTTAAAAAGTGTCGTGGGTGCTTAAGACAGCTTTCCCAAGCATTCTGCATTCCACAACGAAAAAGTGAACATTTTCCTCATCAAAATACACTTCCCAAAGTTCTTCAGAGCATTAATATATGCCAGTCGAAGCACAGAGACCAGACAAGAGCTTGCCGCATCACGCTAACAGGCAACAGGCATGAAAAGTGATGATGAGCATGGTAACTCTAACACTCACTATACAATAAAAGGCACTGTTTTCCAGAGTTCTTTGCATTTTTCTATTTGGCTTAAAGCCTTTCAAGATCTATCTTTGGACTAACAGCCACTGTTGGACAAGTAAAGTTCGCTCAACCTCATATCTACTATTTCGAAAATGTACGGGGCATTATAAGACTTTCCCTTCTTTCTATTTTTTTTTTTTAAAGTTTAATCACACTTTAAGCTCTTGTAATATAAATTTTTTTGCGATAAGCCCTTGCATAAATTTGTTGTCAAATTGTATGGAATAGCTTTACCAAAATATACAAAAAGTTTGATGAATAAGAATAGAATCAACCTTGGGTCTGAATGCAAATAGGGGAAAGGAAAACGAGATTACTAACATCATCCAAGGAAACGAGAAACTTTCAATGTCAGGTTCAACCATGCACAAACGAGAAAGGACAAATTTCTTCCTGAGAAGTTCAATAGAAGCTAGTTATAAAAAGCTGAACAAGGTGGGCAAATCTCTTAAACTACAAAGAGCAAATCTTAATATAAAGGAAAAGGAACAAGACAGACATTGTTTCATTGAATTTTTCCTGGTATTAGTAATTAAGTGAATAATGCGTGAATGAAAAATCCTATCTGTTCGGGCTGAAATTCACCAAAAGTTACATTTATCTCCAAGCTTGGTATTAAAGCTTTGTCTGGTGTAAAGACACCAAAAAACTAGTGTTCTTTTAACGATAACCAGAAAGGCCTGCAGTAAAACAATAAATATTCATGAAAGCAAAGACAGAGATCAGAGATCCATTGTTCCTCTCTAAGGTGCTCTGTTAACATGATAATTAACTTGGCAATCAGGGTAAAAAGGAAAAGAAAAAAAGAAATTGCGTGTATGTTGGAATTTGGAGCTCCAAAATCCTTCTGAGACATGAGTATCAACACCAGACAACTAACTATCTACCGTTTGAAACTTGAATTGAATCATCCGCAGATCCCAAGCTAATGTCAGGCAAAGGCTAGCACAATAAACCACACAATACATATGTTTAAGCAGAGACATGCGTTAGCAAAAGACGTGTGACAACATAAAAGTTGATACGAATGATCCTTGACACAGCAATATACTTATGTTGTCATTGAGTTAGAGAAAGAGAGAGAGGTCAACCATACAAGCTTATGCTTCCACTACATGTAAAAGATATTATCTAGATATAACATGTGAATACGCAAGTTCTGCATGTTAGCGAAAGCATTAATTAGGCCCTTTCCAAAACCAAAAGAAAATAGATGGATCTCAGACATCATCACTTTCATTTAGAGCCTAAAATAAAGCCACCATGTAAAAAACAACTATTTGGCACCTAGAATAATACTTGGAAACATAAACACTTTACTGTGTATTATGACTTCCGAGATGTCCAACAAAAAAATGCAGTATCAGCTTCTATACTAGTCAGACCCAGGAATAATACAGAGATACTCTACCACAAGATTGAACAAGGAGGGAGATCAAAGGACCATAAAAAAGAACGTTCAGAAGAACACTTATCTACTCACTCAGCCTTTGGTTCTCATTATTGTGATGCTGCCTTTTCCTCCTTCAGTACGAATTTTAGTTTTGCCAACAACAGGCTTCCCAGAAAAAGCAGAAGTTGGAAAAGCAGCAGCAAGATCTTCATTGCTTTGTTTCGATTTTGAGGGTGGTGGAGTTCGGATTCGCTGGTTTATATCCTTCAAGGTAACATCTCCATGGAAACCACAGGGTTTAATGAAAGCAAATGGATAGGCCACAGAAGATGCTAGCTTAGGGGGCGTCCGTATGAAAGACTTCCTACCTATATGAGCAAAATCGAATCTGACAATGTTAATCTTAATTAGAGCAATTAAAAATTTAATGTAAAAGATGGTAGGTCATTGAAGTCCTACTTAAAGGACATGATATTTGAAATAGACACACGATTTTAAAAACTTAAACTTTTCCTTATAACAACAGCAGGGGAAGGAGATGTACTGGAAAAAAAACAGGCCAAAACATAGCAAACAGAAGGAAAACAAAATTCAACAGATATAAACAACAAAGACAGAAACAAGAACAGATCAGTACCTTTGAAAACAACATTGCGAGGAGTTCGAGTTGCCTGCTTTTGGACGGCATCAGCGCTGGACTCAGGTTGGGTATTGCACAACTCTATGAACGGAGAATCAAGTCTCATAAAGTTAAGATAATATGCAACTTAGAGAGAGAGAGAGAGAGAGAGAGAGAGAGAGAGAAATGATGAAACAATGACACACAAGACTTGAGAATAAAAGATGAAGATAACAATAGCACACATTCCCTCAAAAGGAAAGGTCTCGTGTACCTGAAATATCAATTTGAACATCAGATGCCCCAGTAAGATTCCTGAATCTCACATTATAAAGCAATCAGAACATATTGATAACATGATCAAACAAAAATGTTGAAAGTCAATAGAAGCATACATATCATCAGAGCTAAGAAGCATCTCCGCATCATTAAAATATTCAGCAAGCCACCCTTCACACGACTGATCAAGGCCCTCATAACTGGAAGCTGATGCATCTTCTGCAATATTTTGCCTTGATTAAAAACCCAAATACAATTCAACTCCAGTTGATTATTATTTGTATGAAAATGAACTTGCAAGAGACACCTGAAAATCCCGGAACCCACTGTGATGCATCAGGTAAAACCTCTTCAATTGACTCATCCCTTTCCTAAGCATGGAAAAAAAAGAAACAAATAAACAAAAACATTGCAACAACCAGCCTACATAAACCAATATTCAAAAGGTGTAATTACATCTCATGAGAAAGTAACTAAACATATATCCAACACGTACATTTTTCAAAGGCCACCACAATAGCCAACTTCTTGAAAACAATGAATGAATGAGTTATAGGAAAGATAAAATTTTGAAGATATCAGCAACCTCTAGGCAGCAGATAGAACCATACAAGATTGACTAGTGCTAACCACTTACTGATTGATGCACAAAAATGATGTGGATAAAATAGTTTTCCTTCTCAGTAATATAAAACAATTTACAATTAACCAATATGTTTTCTAACATCAGGTTCCATATCTAGCATATGATTCCATGTCAAACTTTCGAAACAAAGTTTAAAGATAGCAGTTTGAAAAATATACCTTCATGTTCTCGGAAATAAAACTGTTATCTATCACTCACCCTTGACTTTAGGAATGCAGATGGCATCTCTTCACAGACAAGGGAAGAATCTATTGCATGAGTGTCGAATTGAAGCATTCTACGCCTTTTAACTTGTGAAGAGGTCTCCCTATCCTCTGGTTCCTTGCTGATATTATCTGAAGTTCACCATCTTATTACTTTTAAAGGAAAAAGAAGAAAAGCTACTATTATAACGACCAGAAAATTTCCAAGAACATCAAAGAACAAAGCTTACCATTATGTGTAACATGGTATGACAGATCCCCACATTCCTTAACAGGAGTTGTTTCATCAAACATGTAGGAAAGGTCTTCCTCATTCAAGGTCACTTGAGTCCATACACCTTGGGAGGTGTCTGCTCAGATGTTATCCAGACGTCACTAATCATATTTTCTTAAATCTTTTTTCTTACTCCGCTACTTCAAATATGTTCACCTGTATATAAATTATTGTCTGAGGTATTAACTTACCAAAATTGGAGTTCTTTTCAACACCATAATTCTCCCCATGCCAATTCCAAGGCTTCCTGCCACCAATCACACAATAAACATAAAAAATACAGCTACACCATATTTCAGGTCAAAGCAAAGAGCCAATGCAGCTGGACTTCACAATGAATCATCCAACGCTTTACCTAAAAGTGGACTCCATGATATATTTTACCAGCATTAAGAAAAATCTTACATAAGGTTGGAAAAAATAAGTTAAGAATTAAATCACCAACATAATCCATAAAACTACATAGATATAAGGGGGGAAAGGCGAAATGAAATATTATCCAGATGAACAACAGCAAACAGTGAACATTTCCAACACACAAGTACAACAATAAAAAAAAAAGGAAAAAGTAAAATTGAAGCATTGGATCCTATAATAGTGCCCCAAACAAACATCACATGTAGAATAATAAAAAGGACACTTGTACCATTTGGATCCAGCAGCAAGGAATATGTTTTTCAGCATTGATGTTTAAGCGAATCAAAAAGCACAAAAAAGGGGTTAAGAAAAAATTAAAAGACAAAGACCCACCATTTTATTCAGAGCCCACATCTTCACTCTCCCACTTTACCATTTCAGTTACAGTACAAAAAATAAATCCAACATATCCCCACTTCAAAAATTGAAGGGGAAAAAATCCAAGCAAAGACATTTACCAAATGCAGCATTTAATCCATAAATAAACGTAAAATCAAGCAAAAACCCATCTAAGAAAAACCAGCATTCATCCCCAAAAAATGCAAAAAAAAAATTATAATATAAAACTAAAAAAAAAAAGAACCCAGAAACAATCATCAGAAAAAATGCATTTTAAAACCAAAAGATAAAGGAAATTTACTGATCATTGTTGTAAGCCATTCCCTCTGCTTCCCTTAAAAACTGAACCAAAGCACGGCCTCTTTTTCTTCTCTGTTTTTATTTTTATTTCTCAGTCTTCACTTCTTCAACAACACCATCCAAAGTAGCCGTTACACAGAGATCGATTTTTTTTCCCTTTCAACTATTTATCAGAGCAAATCCACCAACACAAATGCAGATATAAATAATAATAAAACAAAAATATAATATCTATAAAGCAGTAGAAGCAGCAACTTCACTGCCTTGCTCTTTGGTCTTTGCTTGAGATATGTGCTATAATAATATCTGTGGTTAAAGCAAAAAAGGCCCCGTCCCTCTCTCTCTCTCTCTCTCTCTCTCTTCTATTTTTCCTTTTTCCCCTTTTTGTTTTAACCCCTTTTTTTTTTTATTTTGGGTTTTTTTTCTTAACAACTCTCTTTCAGGATTTATGATAAGCAGGCAGAGGACGCATTTTAAGGGGTTCTATTTTTGTTAACATGTCATTAATTACGGTTAGATTTCCTACCAAAATTTAAAAAGGAAAAGGCGGTGCATTTTCTTACTTTTTGGTGGTTTTTAAGCCGGGGGTGAGGGTGGGCGTCGGGGCGTGATTCACGCCATTGTTTTGAGGGCGTGGGTCAATGGTCCAATTGCCCAAGGAAAACTGTCCCCGGGTAGTTTGAACCTGCCTTGTTTGGTTTGGTCCATTAAAGGGCGCCAAGATTCAGGCGCGTGGCGCTAGGGCTTCCCCGAGAAAGGACTGTGTGGTAGTAATAAGAACGTGAGAAACATCCTGCCGTAATTAAGATGGGCCCTGTTTTTAGCTGGGGGTGAGGTCACAATGGGCTTAAAGAAAATGGACCCCTCATATGAATGAATCGAATGCAATCAATTCTTTCTTCCTCCTCTCGTGTACTTATCAATGTACATATATTCTATTTATTTTATTTAAATAATAATAATTTTTTATCAAACTTATATTTAATATATATTAATAATAATATAAATATAAAAATTATCAGATCATCACCTAGGTGATTATAAGAGCAAATTTAAGATATAATAAAAAAAAAACCTAGATAAGAAGATAATAACAAATAATCTTACACTATTTCTACATTCACCTTTGATTCAAACGAGAAAATCCTTTTGAATTAATTAATTTATTATTTATTTATTTTATATATGTCTAAGGAAGTGGTCCATGTCTTCCTTTCAATATATTGAGTAAGTCAAAAATTGTACACTTTCTATGCCAACTTTAACATCTTTGCCTAACATAGAGGATAATAAATTTGAGAATAGTAGAAAAGTCATTGTATTGTCTCTATATTTTACAAGATATCTATCAAACTTAAATCCTATTTTAATCCCTTTACCTAACATTTGAGATTATCATTCATCTTTCTAAAAATAAATAATAAAAGATTACTATAAATATTGACTCCAAAGACTATAGAAAAAGAGTGAAATGTGTGTGTATATATATGTATATATTTAAAGCACTCCAATCAGTGTCCATATACTCTCACATGAAGACATTTACTCTTTATATTTTGATATTCATTGTAATTAAAGAAAATCATTAAAGACATTCGAGTGTTTGATTTATTTGTTGATACATTAACCATTGTCTAAAAGGTAAGATTAAAGAAAAGCATTAAAGACAATATGATTAATGTATTATATTTTAAAAATTTGACAAGAATAATACATGAAATAAAAAATGGTTTCTTAAAATAATCCTTTAATTAACTTTTAACGAATATGCTAATTAGATATTATTCTATGTCTTTCTCTCTTGAAATAAAATTCTCAACTAACAAAATCAACCACTTCTTATGCCAAAAAACTAATTACTTCTCAAAAGACCAAAAACTCTTTGCAGTTTAATAAGCAAAAATGCCTTCAAGATTTAATTTTTTGGAAACTTTATATATATATATATATATATAAACAAGTAATGTCTTAAAGATCTTAACCATTAAAAGAATAAATATTTTCTGATGAAATACTAAAATTAAGACAGTAAAATAATTGATATAAGCGAATAAAGAAAATTAAATAATCTATGGAGGCAGTTGGAAAAGACTATAACCCTTCACTCCAAGCTAGCATGGTAATGGAGAAAGCATTAGAAAAAGTGAATACAACATCGTCACCAGCAACATAGCATCCTCCCAACAAATCCACCTGAGAATGAAAAATGTGATAACGGAACAGAATTTTTTAAATTTGGCATCTTTTTCTAGTTTATTTTACATAACATTTAAATGTCTGGAAAATCAAATACTGTCATGTACATTGCAATCTGAAGTTGTTGCTAAATTTTCAAGGTATAATATTTTAAAAATTCTCGAATTATTTAAAAAAATTTAAACAAATCGTTATTCTTCCATTATATTCAATTAAACTTTTGTGTTTTTATTTTTAAATCAAATAGGTTCTTATAACTAACAATTAATTAATTATCATTAATCAAAATATCATTTATTATTTTATACATACATGATGCTAATATGAAGTGAAAAATGTCTCATGTTTATGTTATCATGTCACGTCACCATCTATTACAACATGTCAATATCCGATGTCAATACCACATGATATATAAAATGACAAATGACATTTTCACTAATGACAATTAATTAACTATTAGCTATATGAACTTATTTGATCTAAAATAAAAATTTAAAGACTTAATTGAAATCAATAAAAAAATAAAAATTTATTTTAATTTTTTTAAATAGTTTAAAATTTTTTGAAGTATTATATCAATATTCAATAAAATATAAAAAAAGCAAAAAAAAAAATGCATTCTGTTGCACTTCTATCATACATGAATCTCATGAAATATATTTCTTTTTTGTCCAATACTTGAGTTGGTTTTTTTCAACTAATTTGCTGTTTAGATTATATATACACAAATCCATCATTTTTATTTTCCTTTTTAGATTATCATAAATTTTGGCATCCATGATCTAATTTGCAAAATAAAAATGAAAAACAGAAAGAAAATATGATTAAATGGTTATGCAAAAAGGAGAAGATTAGGAATATAAAAGCAAGTAATTTACCTGTTGTTGGGAATCAAAATACTTAAAACTCAAACTGCATATTTATACAAAGAAGTATATTTTAGAGAAAACATGAAAATATTTCAAATGTTTGCAAAATGAAAATAAAATTCAAAAAAAGGATATAAATATACCTTGACGCCTGTTTAAATTTGAGAAGATAAAGGCTATATCTATTTGAATTTGTCATTAAATTATCATATATTTTGCATTAATGGTAGTCATTAATAGAAGTCATTAAATTATCATATAAATTTCTTAAAAGCTTTATTTGTGATCAATACAAAAGTCGGATGCAAAAGTGTTTCCAAACGTTGGTCTTAAACACTCGAAGAACATCTTGACAGAGCCCAAATTGTCTTACAAACCAATGAGCTCTGTAAGGCTCAATAATATCACCTTATTGCATTGATGAAGCACATAGCTGAAATGGATGATAATAAGATAATAATGATAAGTATGATCAAATGTCCTATTAATAATGATGATCCCATCTCTATTTTTGAAAATACGTTAGCATTCCACACCATATTTGTGTGTTGGCTTCATGTTCACCAAAATATCTTGGCTTTACCTTCTCTTGAGAGCTTAACCATCATAGGTCCATTTACTTCTTGTGGAGTTGGAAAATGAGTTTCATAATAGTAATTAAACCATCCAAAAAATAGTCAACCACTGGTAATTTTTGGCCAACTATTGAATGGCAAGGTTAACATTGTTAGTGCTAATTTCCATAGGGCTAGTTTGTGTTTGAAAGGATAAATACATAAAACTAGCAAGAAAAGAAGCTCGTCAAATGTGTTTTCTCTAATGGTAAGTTCATTGCATGTTTTGTATGTTGTCAATGCCCAAGTTTCATGCTTCCAAATGATCGTAAAAGGATTATGCATGGCTTTGGGACGAGTTGACTTCGTTGCTTAATGAGCCAAAGACTTTTGGTAATGTAATTCACCTTGAAACCAAAAGTTGGTCTAATTGTCCACAAAGACTTTGCCTTGGCCATCTTTTCTTTCATTAAATAATGAAATGCAACAAATAAATACTCACAACTTTTGGGAAGCAATGATGAAAAATTTCTCAATTTCTTTCACTACAATTTTAGATTGTACTATAATGAGCACTAACCAAGGCTATCGTTGTGATGAAAAATCTCTCAATTTTTTGAAAAGTAGAAAATTTCATTCACATTTGATAAGTAACAAAAAAAGCAAAAAAACTCATTGTTCATGGCAATCAAGAATCTGCAAGATAAAAAAAAAAAAAAAAAAACTTATAGTGCAATCACCCTCTAGACTTTAACATCTCATTTACAATCCCCCAATTATCAAAAAGGTTGGCTTGAGCTCCGCCTTCCCTGTTCAAAGGTATTAATAAACATATAGACCTAATATAAACACCCCTGTATAACATCAAAAACATATCCACATCACACAAAAATTCAAATAGGTAGCATGAAGAGCCCCAAAATCTGCATAATGATCCTAGCACTGCACACATAACATAATCTATCATACGTTAATACGAGCAAAAATAGAAGATCAAACCTACGAGAAGAAAGCAAAAACAGTAAAGAATTTGCAGTAGACATAAAAAATCCACAAGCAGACAATGATATGGAATCAGTCAAGAAGTTCAATAGAAAATTTGAACAAGATCATCAAAACGGTTCACACCATTCTTGGCTAAGCGATTGGCAAGCTGATAAGCAAATCTTGAAATATGAATCCCATACCATTTAAGAAGTTTGCAGTTCAAGTTGTTCAACAGGCACAGAATACTTCTTTTCCACCAAAGAGCAAGAGATGGGTCACTGGACCACTTAACAACATTAGACAAATCTAATTCCACAATTAGTTCATGAGTGCAAGCTTAAGAGGAAGCAGCAAAAAGCAAAAAAGCTTCTTTAATAATAAAGATTTCAGTCAAGTTTGAATTGACAACACTCACAAATTTGGAAAAGAGAATCTTAACACTGTCATCATTGTCTCTCAAAGCACCTTTAATCCTAACCTTCCCTGGACATCCCCTAGCAACCACATCCATATTAAGCTTCATGCATCCATTACATGGTTTAGTCTAGTCAAGCTTCAAATTATTTTTTTTTCACCACCACAGTAGCTTTTTCTCAACATCCCGGACAGAAAAATTTTCTAATAGCCATTTAGCTTTAGACCATCAGCCAACTTTCAATTTAATGACATCAAAAAAATTAAAATATCATTTACAAATTATATTGTAATGTGTAAAGATAAATCTTTAAAAGTTAGAAGATATTGTGATGACATATTAAATTTATTTAAAATGAACTTGTTTATCAAACTTGAACTTATTTGATTTTTCACAGTACTATCATGTATAGGTGATACTATTACTAACAGGTCTATATAATGCATTGCTAGAATATTTTTTTTGTTATTTTTTGTATTGTAATGAAAAAATTATAAAAAAAGATAACATTATAAATGTAATTAGTAAAAAAATTAAATATTAAAAAAATAATAACAAAAAAAGAGAAAAAGCACAAAAAATTTTGAATCTTAATTTTTTACAATTAAAAATTCAATTCAAAAAACAACCCGTTTGTTTTTCTCAATTTTTCCTTTCTTTTTATTTTTTTATTTTTTCCTCTCACATCTCTCACTCATCCCAGACTTACCTTTCTCTCATATACGTACGGATCTCCATCCCTTTCTTTTACCCTTTCTTTACCCATTCCTTTTTTATCAAATTTGATTTTTTCACCCAATTTTTTTTTCAAATTTTTTTTCTTATTCTTTTTTTTTTTCCACTTTATTCTTACTCTTATCTAGCCTCTGCACCTCAACTATAAAACCCCTTTGACCTTAACCCATCACATGTCAACCCTCAACCTAATCCCCAACTCCGTCCTTAAGACTCCACCTGTCAAGACATTGAGAAGCAAAATATATAGAAGCTAACTTAAAACGTGGCAACTTTCTAAGTTGAGTTGTAACAAAAAGAGGAAGTCTTTTTGCGGCTTCCTTTTAAGTATGTAATAGCTATTTAAGTAATATATTTGATTTTTTTAAAATTTAGATTGAAATTATATAAAAATTTATTAATTTTTGAAAAGATATTTTGATTAAAAAATATAATTATTATTAACAAAAATTAAAAAAATATTAAAATATTTTTTCTTTATTAATTTAAAAAATTATTATTATTATTTTTAAAAATAAAATAAAATTAAAAAAGTACTGATCCATGTTCTGAAGGGAGGAGAGCATTAGATTGGTGCTCCCAAGGAAGGGGAGCACCTTGATCGGGCCGGTTCTTTCTTGATGGGGAGTTTTTTTTTAATTAATTAAAAAATTAAATTATATAATAATTATTATAAATATTAATTAAAAGTAAAATTATTTTTTTATTTTTTTCATATCAATAAATTAATAAAAATATTAACTATTAACTATTAACTAACGGCTAAATGTATGTATCTAATAAAAAATAATTTTTTAAAATAAAATATTTATTTTAAAAATTAATATATCTTTATATAATTTTGATTAAAATTTAAAAAAGCTAAAGTATTTTAGCTTAGATATTTTCACATAGCATTGCCATTACTTCCTAAAGTAGGAAATTACAGTTGAGGCCACTCACGTCTCGTTTTCTTGTTTCTTGCCTTTACATTTTTTAATATATCTACAGAGTAATCCGACTGTCACTAGTTATTGCTTCATTTTTTAGAACCCTAAACCTTGAATTCTCCTCCTTCACAAATTCTGGTTTGGAGTTTGCTTCCCACTGCCAATCCTGAGAATCATTGCTGGGTTTTTAATTTGATCAATTGCTTTGGGTTTTTCCTTTGAAGCTAATTTCAGGTATGCTCTTCAAATCCCAAGCCATTTCTTCTTCCATCTCCTATCTAAAATTTAACTTCAATTCTTTCTTAAACCCTAAATTCACCTTCCAAATCAAGGCCATTTCAAGCCTCAAAGTTATTTGGAGGAAAGACCAGAAATTAGACCAAGCCATAGAAAACGATAAACGATACAAGCTCTGCGCCCGGGTCGTGAAGGAAGTGCTTAACGAACCGGGTCAAGTCATCCCTCTCCGGTACTTAGATAAAAGGCGGGAGAGATTACGCCTTAATGTCAAAGTTAAAACCTTTATTAACAATAACCCGGGTCTTTTCGATACTTATTATGATCGGATTAGACCCAAATCCGAGCGCGTCCCATTTTTGCGGCCTAGTGATAAGTTGAGGAATTTTCTAGAGGAGGAGAAACGGATTTATAGTGAAAATGAGGAGTTGGTTGTTTCTAAGCTTTGTAAATTGTTGATGATGTCGAGATATAAGGTGATTAGTGTGGATAAATTGGTTCATGTGAAGAGAGAATTTGGTTTGCCAAATGATTTTTTGGTTAAGTTAGTGCCTAAGTACAGGAATTATTTTAGGTTAACCGGGTCCCCTGGAGAAGGGCAATCGTTTTTGGAGTTGGTTGAGTGGAATCCTGAGTTTGCCAAATCTGTTATTGAGCAAAGAGCAGAAGAGGAATCGAGGTTAACAGGGATTCGGGTTAGGCCAAATTTTAACTATAAGTTACCGGCAGGGTTTTTTCTCAGGAAGGAAATGAGAGAGTGGGTCAGGGATTGGTTAGAGTTAGATTATATATCTCCTTATGAGGATGTGGCACATTTGGATCAAGCTTCGCGAGAAATGGAGAAACGGATGGTGGGGGTTTTCCATGAGTTGCTTTCCCTCTCATTGTTCAAAAGGGTTCCGGTGCCTATATTGGGTAAGTTTACCGATGATTATAGATTTTCAAATGCTTTTTCTAGTGTGTTTACAAGGCATTCGGGGATATTCTATATGTCATTAAAAGGTGGGATAAAGAGTGCAGTGCTAAGGGAGGCGTATAAGGACGATCAGTTGATTGATAAGGATCCATTGCTTGAGATAAAGGATAAGTTTATTGAATTGTTGGAGGAAGGATGGCAGGAGAGAGCAGAGTTGTTGAGGTTGCGAAGAGAACAGGTTAAGAAGGACATGGAAATGATGGCAATGAGGAATGAGGGATTGCATGAACTAAGTTGTGATGAGGAGCCTTGAATTTGAAAGGATGAGGATTTGACTTGGAATTTGAGTTATTGATAATGTTGAGCTCCACATTTGGATTTGAGAGGATTGTATTAATCATGTAATCTTTTATTGGAACTACAATAGAGGCACATAACATTTTTGTCCAGGATATATACTCAGATTGTTGAGTCACATTTTGAGAATAAGAAGGGTTTTGCATCCCAAGTATTGGGCCTTCTGTACTCTTATGTGGTAAAGCTGCTTCACAAGTTTACAACTGATGTGAGAACATGCTGGATCTGTAACTTTCCTTCACATGTGAGAAAAGTTTGCCCACTTTCCAGCTTTTGACATTTTTGTTAATTAGCACATTTACACCAACTGCAGCTTCCTAAAATGTTTTTTTTTTGTTATAAAGTAGCCATGAAAAGAACTCGCATAGGTGCTTTCCAACCATTATGTGGCTTGTTGAAAGTAAAATCTCCATTTTTTGTGAGGAATTTCTATGAAAGTTTGCATGGATATGGATATTTTTGTGTTTGAAGTTGTATGGGAAGATGTTTGTGGTATCAACTAATTCAATGAAGTTAAGGTAATCCAGCATGTCTGTCTAAAGAACTATAGCAATGATCAACATGAATATTAACTTGCGTACTAGGACATATTTATTTATGGATTTTGATTTGAGACATGTAATGCACTGCTAAGACTTAAGACTAGAGAGTACCTGCAGAGGACATAATGTGTGTGGCAACTTAGAGATGGTTAAACTGAGAAAATAAAATAAAGCTATTAAGACCGTGTATTAGATCACTGCATGATAGTAAGGCATTGTTCAAAACAGTAACACTTTGGTTTTGCACTTTGGAGGCTGACATCCTTTGGATGAGAAGAGTGACCTTATTTGGGTGAAAGTATTTCTTGATCTCATAGTTGATTTTAACTAAGGAAAGCTTGTAGTAGGCATTCCTTGGTAGTTGATTTGCCGGGGGCATCAAAGGGCCAGCAATCGAGGCTAGAGCAGGTGAATGGGAGTTGAATTCTCACGATTCATGAATGAAACATGTTGATGCAATCTGTTGAATTATTTTCCATCACAGGAGCTCTGATATTCTGTTTGTTTAATTTTCAGGATTTTGAGATTGCATTGCAATTTAGGGAGGGAAAGAGAAGGAGACTTCTTGGTTTGTTCCTCCTTTCTGTATCAATTGATAATACCTTGACTGTCCTGTATTCTTCTTTGGTTGTTCTAGAAATGGGAAGCCCGCTTCTATATTGCATTCATTTTTACTATAACTATTTCCAAACAAATATCATAAACAAATGCAGTGATTTTCATAAAAGACACTAATACCATCTAATCAAATCATTTTATTTTATTAGTGTAAATAATTATACTTAGATGTTATTTCTTTTTAGATGCTCCGAAGTAGAAACAAACAAATTTTCTTATTTTTCCAACTAATCTTAAATTACTAAAACGGCCAATGGACTAAGAAATATTAGAATCAATTGCCGTACAGAAAGATATATATTAAAGGGTAAATGAAATTTTGATTAATTGCTAAATAGGAAATTAAAAGTACGATTTCATCCTTAACTTGAAGATTAACTTTCCAATGCAAGAAGACAGCGACTGGAGAAATGAAGGTGCCATCGCTTGTCAGAGGAGACGATAGGATCCAGCAAGGGCATGGTTGAATGCATTCTTATCAAACGATTTGACGCTATCAGGCTGTCATAATTAAAATTTTCCTTCTCTTTCTCCTCATCAACCACTGATTAGGAAAGCCATTGCTGCCATATTCAGGTCTTTGGAGATAGGACTATCAAGGGGCCAAAATCTATAGATCCACTATTAGGTCTTTGGAACAAGTGTAACAAGTTGATTGTAGCCTGGTTACTTGATTCTATTTCATTAGAAATTGCATTCACGATCTTTTTCATGGATTCGGCACAACAAATATGGGAGCGCTTGAAGGAACGATTTTCACAGCTATATGATTTAAGGATTTACAATTTATAGTTTACTAAAGGACTCAGGTCAGTTGATAGTAAGAAAGAATTCAAAAATATAGGCCATTGTGTGTAGATTGTAATAATAATTGCTTTAAGAAGTTTGTTAACTCAGTACAACAAGGAAATAATGTTTCGCTTTCTTAATAGTTTAAATGGCGCATATCTTGCCTTGAGATCACAAATTGTGATGCTCAGGCCCTTTCCTACCCTCAATAAGGCATATAATATGACTCTTCATGAGGAATCACAGAGATCTCTATTCATTCAATCACAGCCTCTGGTTGAAACATCTGTTATGGCAGGATATGGTGATGGGAGGAAGATCAATAAAGGTGATTCCGTCTAATTTGATTCCTTAGAGATTTTAAATTCATAAAGAAGAGAATGAACCAGTAATGCTACTGTTAACAGTGTCATTGCTATTACACAACAGGATCATTTGAAGGAAAGTATTAATTATTTAAGGTCTCAAATTTCTGTCATAAAGCAGCATATACAAAGGCTAATGTTTCTTCTCAATCATCAAGATCTTGAAGCATCCATCAAGCCAATCAACCACAGCCTTCCTTGGTAAATTCTGTCTTAGTTGGTATGATTCTAAATCCAACCTGTTTGAATGCTAAAGATGCGTATATATCTTAATCACATTTAGGAAAATCATTCATAACAGATAGCCAAACTTGGATAGTATATACTGGTGCCTTGGGTCATGTAGCTTGCTCACTCTTTTTGTTTGAATCAGTTAAACCTGTTCGTAATACGACTGTGTTGTTGCCAAATGATACAAATGTTATTGTTAGTCATATAGGAACAATGAGATTGACTCCTTTAATGCTTGAGAATGTGTTGTTTGTACCTTCTTTTAACTTCAATTTAGTTAATTTTTGTAGTTTTTTTTTTAAAAAAATTATATTTAGTAGTCTTACTAAAGCCAAAAAGCATTTGTTTAGTTTATGTTATAGAGAATGATTAGGGTTGTTAGAGTAAGAAGAGGTTTAAACTCCATGCAAAGTGATTTGGACAAAAGTTTTATCTTGTATTAGTCCAATTCATTTCACTTCTATTGTTAAATTTCCAACTTCTGTAGATGCTATCAAGTTTTAAAATTCTATAAATAATGGTCAATTTGTTGATAGCCATGATATTTGGCATCTTAGATTTGGACATACTCCATGTGAAAAAAATAAAACTGATCCACTTCACAACTATCTTCATCTCATAGAGCATTTACCATTTCACTTACTAATACCTTTGAACACCCCCAAACTTATCAACAAGCTATCACTCATGAGATTTGGAAAGAAGCTATGCAAGCTGAATTGAATGCTTTAGAAGAAAATAAGACTTGGACAATGATGCCTTTACCAATAAATACACGTGCTGAGGGTTTTAAATGGGTGTATAAATAGTGAAAATTAATTCTAATGGTAGCATAAAGAGATACGAAGCATGATTGGTAACCAAAAGCTATAGTCAAAATGAGGGATTTGACTATTAGGAGACTTTTAATCCAATTGCTTAACAAACTACTGTTAGAGTCCTTTTGGCCATCACTATTGCAAAAGGTTGATTTTTGAGGCACTTAGACATCAATAATGCATTCCTTTATGGTGACTTAAATGAAGAGGGTTTCATGAATTTGTCTCAGGGATATGAGCCTCAGAGGGAGTATAAGTGTCCACCAGGTTGTAGACTTGTGTGCAAATTATAGAAATCCCTTTATGGTTTGAACAAGCTTCACAGCAATGGAACTCTAAGTTCACATAAACTCTATCGAGGTATGGTTTTGCGCAGTCTAAAGTTGATTACTCTTTGTTCACTAAGAAAATGATTAGTTCATAGCATTATTAGTTTATGCGGATGACATTTTGATAGCTAGTTCATCAATTCCAGCAACGGATCAAGTAAAATAGTTTTTGAACGACAACTTTAAGTGGAAAGATCTTGGCAAGTTAAAATATTTTCTAGGCATTAAAATTCCAAGATCAACTCAAGGCATTTAACTGTGTCAGAGAAAGTATACATTAAAGCTGGTGTTTGAATATGGTATGCTAGGCACAAAACCAATAAGTACTCCCACAGATTATTATTGTAAGTTGACTAAGGAATGATATGAGAGTCAGTCAGTGGATGCTATTAGATACAGGAAATTAATGGGAAAATTGTTATATTTGATCTTTACAAGGTTGGATATTACATTTGCTTCACATATATTTGGTACAATTCATGGATTGGCCCTGTCAAACACATTGAAGTATTAGGACAAAGTTTATTGTTACCATTAGATTCAAATTTATAATTGAAGGCATAGAGTGAATGTGACCGCACAGGGTGCCCAGACACAAGGAGATCGATGATTGGTTATTGTGTTTTTATTGGAAAGTCACCTGTAAACAATGTGATTCTCATGTGTCATCGGCATCAAAGAAGTTGGTTAAAGAATATGTTAGCAAGTTACCAGAATAAGCACGTGTTGTTTAGTTTGTTAATAAGTAGTAACATTGAAAGGTAGATAAATAATTTATATTATTAGCTATAGATATTGAGTATAAATACTCTGATTTAATAGTACATTAGAGTAAAGAGAAAACACTTTCTTTTGGAATATACATTTCCAGCTTTACTTTTCTTCTACAACTTAATTCTTTGTTTTTTTTTTGAATTCTATTCTATATTGGTTAATATCAAACATCGATAAACTCTAGCCATCAACAGGCCTAATCTCAATCGGGACCAGCAGATGTGATCGATGACTTTCTCCGTAGTCGAATCTGACCATTTAAAAGGCCGAATCTAACTTGGAATTGTCTGAATTCAACCTTAATAGGCCAACCTGATCTCGTCAATCATTGCCAATTGCTTAGATGCAGTTTGAGCCCATCAATCTTTGCCCTTCTCCTTTTTCAATCTCTGGCTTTAAAAAAATCAAATATCAACGGTAAGACTATAATTTGATTAAGAATGTCGACAGGTAAGATATTAGTTTATTTCAAAATACTTGAACTCAAACTTGATTAATAAATAGGGTATCTATGACAACTATCGAAATATTTTTAAAATTTAGTATCTTAATCCAAATCCTAATACATACCTACTACTTAATAATTACTCAAATTTATTTAAAAACACGATTATGTAAAAATAATAATTAAAATACTCTTTATGAGTACTCAATTATCCAAATATGAATCTATACCCATATTCATATATAATAATATTTCTCATCCATATTTCATATGATTTATTAATAATTAAATTTATAAAAATACTTAAAAAATAAAATTTTAATTTAAATAATTAAAAATAAATATCTCAAATATCAATTTAAATAACTAAAAATAAATATTCAAATAACGACTTAAACAACATTACAAGTTTAATTAACTATATAGGTATGTCCTTAATTACATAAAAATAACTAGGTTTCAAAACTATTCTAATTTCACAATTTTTCTTTAAGTATATATATATATATATTATAAATTTATATAAACAAAGGTATATATTATAATTATACTTATGTATTTGACTCATTAGTTGGAATATGATCTTCTTATCTAAAGAACAAGGTTTATATTTCTCTTTCCCAATTAAAAAAAAATTTATAAGTTATAATTCTTATAACCTTAACATAAAATTAAAATTAAATATATTTATACTTAAAGTATATAAAATAATAATAATAATTATATTATTTATAAATTAACACAATATATAGAGTATATATTTTAAAAGATATTATAAATTAATTAATAAGTATAATTTTATGAATTAATTTAATTAATAATATATATTTGTATTTAATTATATAAAATTTAAAAAATAATTGAATTCAAGTATTTAATATCTACACTTAGTATGAGTAGTGAAATTACTATCTGAATCTTATTCAAATTCGATTATAAAATATCAAATCTTATATAACTAAATTGAATATTTACGAGTACCTTATAACAGGTACCCAATACCATCTCTAAATTTGATATCCTACTTAGCAATTATAAAAGTTTCGTTTCTTTTATCACAAATTATATTTGACTATGGCGGCCAACTCTAAATAAGTTGGATACATTGCCCTGCTCCTCCCATTCCTCCCAATTTTCACCGCATATTGAACAGCCTTGCGCGACCAGACAACGACCAGACCGCGACTGTGGATGACATGACGTGTCAGTATTTTATTGGTAAAGGATCGTTGTCCCCAGCATTAAAATGTTCTTTAAAATAAGCGAAAGAAAGAAAAAGGGGAAGGGGAACCAAAAATCCAACAGAAAAAGAAAAACTTGGAAACTACAAGATCTAAGTCTAACCCACACTTGTGAGAAGAAAATAAAGAAAAGAAAGGCCGTTCCGTTGGAAGCGATTGCGTTTTGATTTAGAAGAAGAAGAAGAAGGGAATTTAGGGTTTTAGGGATCAGTGGAAGAGAGAAAATGAATATATTCAGACTAGCAGGTGACATGACTCACCTGGCCAGCGTTCTGGTATTGCTCCTCAAGATCCACACCATCAAATCTTGCGCCGGTAACAGTTCTTTCTCCTCTTTCATTTTTCGTTTCTTGTTTTTAATAATGCGGCTGTTAAAATATTCTTGCTTTCGAGCTTCAATTTTTATATTTTTCTTAATTGGCTCAGGTATTTCTCTGAAGACACAAGAACTTTACGCCATCGTTTTCGCTAGTCGTTACTTGGACATTTTTACTGATTTTATATCTCTTTACAACACTTGCATGAAATTAATATTTTTGGGAAGCTCGTTTTCGATTGTTTGGTACATGCGTCGCCATAAGATTGTTCGAAGGTCTTACGATAAAGACCAGGACACTTTCCGCCATTATTTTCTTCTGTTGCCTTGCCTGCTCTTGGCCCTCCTCTTTAATGAGAAATTCACCTTCAAGGAGGTCTCCTTTTTATTTTTCCAACATTTTTTAGTTTGTTTTTTTCTCAATTATGGTTCATTTTTACTTTGTATTTTGATTTATGGAGAACGGGGTTGCAGGTAATGTGGACCTTTTCGTTGTATCTAGAAGCCGTTGCCATACTCCCTCAGCTTGTTCTCTTGCAAAGGACTAGAAACATTGACAACTTGACCGGCCAATATGTATTTCTTCTTGGGTATGCTTTAATTTTTCCAATGGTGATTTAATCAATTGACAATATCTTATAACTTCTGCTTTGTTTGGCTCATTTAGTGCATTTGTTTGAAATTTTTTTATTCTTCTGAGGATAGTTCTTTTGATTTTTTTGGTGTTTGAATTGGTTGTGCCTTATGTTTCAACTAACAATCTGTAGCTTGTGCCTGAGACTTTTTAGTTGACAGTCTCTGCATCAAAACTTTAGCCTTTCCCTTTGCATCACATTTGGTTTCTTAACTATTGCTGTTCTTTAGGACTTGATGAACCTTAGTATCTTTTTGAGTTTAAAAAACTTCTCCAATACCTTGAGAAGGTTTAGGGTTGAAGCTCAAGAGATAACAACTCGGGATTTTTTATGCCCATAATATTGCTAATTCTTCTTTTGGTTTAGATATCCTCTGTTCCAGAGGACCAAATTAGTTATAGTTTGCATTGAAGAGAGCTAGAGAAAAGGACTTTTTGTAAACTAAAAATAGAAATTTGTAAGCTGTGTTCCACATATTATTATATGAGCACTGGAACTACTGTACGCAGTATGGTAGTAATCTAGCATTGCATCGTTAACCATAATATGAAATTTCCAAATCAAACAAAATGAGGCATTCTTTTCCTTTTTTTTTTAACAATATTTACTTGATGATGTCTTCTAGATGTGTAGAGATTTTGTTTTAGCTAAGTAGATGCGTATGTTTATGTGTGTAATGGACTGATCCGCTTATATGTCTTTCTCTTTTATTGCAGTGCATATCGAGGGTTATACATTCTTAACTGGATTTATAGATACTTCACTGAATCACACTATGTTCACTGGATACGTGAGTCTTTCTCTCTTTCTCGCTCAGAGCATGTATTGTTTTGGGATCCCTAGATTCATTATACACTTATATATTGGTTTATGATTATCTTTTAAACCCTTGCATTTGAAAGGCTGCAAAGAGTGTCTTTCTTCTATTTCCTTTTTCTTCCCCTTTTAAATTTTAAACACGGGTGGGATGGGTGAGTAACGCTGACAGTTCATCTCTTTGCAGGTGTTTCTAGAGCCATGTGCCTTTACATCCTGTTGATATATAGAGCCAAATAATTGATTTTTTTTTGTTGTTTATTGTTAAGATTTCTAGGACCTCTTTGTCTGCCAATAGTGTTTGTTACATTATTCGCAAATTAAGATTTGGACTTTTGCTATCATGTGAGCTGATGTCTATAACGTATTGTGTATGTTGATAGTGTTACTCCTTTTTTGTTGTCAAATAATGATTTCCCTTCCTTTTATTACTAGTGCTAGAAATAATTGTAGTAGTTACTCAAAATCACTTGAGGTTGCATAATCTGTGAATTCCTTCATTTGGTTCTGAACCTAGCTTTGTTATCTCTGCCTTGCACAACTAGACAGGGTGGTGATCATGGAGTTACCTTGGCAAACATCATTTAGCATCTTCTTGGTTATGTTGGTTAGCTAAAAGCAAACGAGCATATTAGATTATTACTATCTTTGACATTCTCAAGAAGGTGCCATGTTCATCTGATACACGACCTTTTAGTGAATACATGGTGTAATAACTTTTGGAAGGAATTTCCTGGCTTGTAGATCCGATTGCATGTATTAAGTTATCCCTTGGTTTATGACTGCTTGAAGGTTATGACAAACTTTATCATACTGAATAAAGCTAATTGTAGAAAATTTAACTATTTTGAGTTCTGTACTTGGGTTCTATTCAATTGCCTTGTGTAGCTTTTGCCTTTCTTGATGTACTCTCTTGTATGCTTCTGTAGGCTGTTGCTTCCAATATCATTTCTTTGTCACTGATTCTTTCATGTCTCTTGCAGCTTGGATTTCTGGGCTCATTCAGACACTCGTTTATGCTGACTTTTTCTACTACTACTTTGACAGGTGAAAGACTAAAATTTTGATAGACGAAGTTATGCTTGTTTCTGTTATTTCTGTTAGTCTGAATCATCTCCTTTTGTATTCTATGCTCCTTAATGATTGCAGCTGGAAGAACAACAAAAAGCTCCAGTTGCCAGCTTGAGTTCCTCATGCATCATGACATGCAGAGGATTTCCATCAGTACCTGGGATATGTTCATTCGTAGAGAACTGAGCTAAACGTTTGTTGAATTTTGTTTTGCTATGGATACTGCCATCCCATTTTACATGTCACTTAGGGATGTATACCTTTTTAGATTAAAGATGAATCATGTCATAGTTCATAGGAAGGATTTCAAGGTTAAGAAAAATGAATCTTAGCTTCAGTGTGCCGTCTGTGACGTGAAAATCAACTTAATTTCTCAATTTATGTGCTGAAATTGTCGAGTTGTACCTCTGGGTCGGAGCCCCTTTTGTTTTGATGTAAATTGTTGATCCTGATGCATCTCAATTTCTTGGCTGTGTATGACTCAATTAGCTCAATGGTGTGAGGTGAATTTTACATAATCTGTATAACCATTCGGTTAGAGACTGCTAAAGTATTTGGTCATTGCGGAGAGGTGAGTAAAAAATAACCTTTGGAAAGTGGGATGATCCTTGACCAAAACGTCAAAAGAGCAGAAACCCAAAAGGATTTTGAAGCATAATAGCAATATACTTGTTCATGTTGTATTTTGAAACACAATTGGCATACCATTAAATATCCATGCATACAGCAATTTACTACTAGTATAGCTAGCTAATCAACAAAACCATTGTTGCAAAAGTTCTCTAGACCGCCATTTACAGTGAACATTTCCATAGATGTACCAAAATATAATATGATACTATAGTTTGCTCCAAGTCTGCCCTCCCTAGCTTTTTTCATGTGTATTCAAATGTTGTCCAATTAGCAGCCATGGACTTCCATGCCGCCTCCTGTCTGGTGCAGCATTGCATCAATTTCATCTCCATCCTCCATCTCGAGCTAACCACCCATGAAAAACATCCAAGCAAAACCACAGTATTAAGTATGATAATGATCCCATTAACATTCCCGCAAATAATACGTCACAATTTAATGAAAATGTATGGTCTGAAATCACTATATTAACAATCAAATATAAAAAAATATATTAAAAATTTTTACATTAACATGTCCTTTTATGCATGCGTATATTGCAGAACCTCGAAATAACAGTGTCAAGACAACTAAAGCAGCGTAATGGAGTTTTACCTCGTCGGGAGTCTGCTCCCCCCGGAGCCTCCGCCCATCAAACAAGAAGGCAATTGAGCTCAAATCCACCGACTGCCTATCGCAATAGGCAGTCATCAGTTTCCTCAACTGAGTGCTTCTCTTAATCCTAAAAAACACTTCGTTACCATCCTACAAACAAACGAAGCACATCACTAAACAGAAAAGGCGCAAATAAGCAGCTAATAAAATAAATAAAGAGAAAATGATGATCTAAAATAGGTAAGAATAAACCTGGCCCTTGACTTTGAGGTTAATGTGGGCAGACTGATCGGCCGGCTTCTTATCCTCCTCCTGTCCTCCGCCACCTGCTCCCCCACCGCCTGTCGCAGACATTTTCCGTGCCGCTCTTCGTAACTTTCAGGCGGAGAAACTGAAAAAAGGGTGACTCGCAGGGAAGTAGACAAAGGGGTGGCTTTGAAATAGAAGGGAAAGCGTTGGTTTTACGCTATATATACAATTGTAAACCACTTAGTGGAACCCACTCTGTCAAACTCAAACCCGCAGGGGCCTCACGTAGTCGCATTTTCGGCAATACCATTTAACGGAATGCACCCTGTTTGATTAGGTGGGGATTCTGAGAAGGCGAGTATCGGGTTTACGTACTCGCCTGGTTGTGAGAAAAAGAAACTCGTTGGAACTGAACTAGATTTGATAAAGATTTGGATTCCAGGCTTTGGTATCTTTGGATTGTGAAATGTGGGCTAATCTATTAAAGGAGATTTGTTGCTTTTGGGGAGGGCGATCGGAATGGACGGTCGAGATGGAATAGTTGGGGGGAACTTGACGGCTGAGGATGGTTTGGACAACCTGTGGTGGGATGAAGTGGAGAGGGCGAGTCGTTGCTGAGAGTACGCAGTGTCCCTTTTTTGGGACGTGAAAGATTAGGCAATTAGTTGAATTTCATCCTTATCCCATTGGCAAATTGACGCGTTTGCACGTGCTGGATATGAGTGGATCCGATCACAAATATGGTAGCCATCCAAACTTTGGCCCAACATGGGCGGTTTCTAATTGGAAAATCCTAACCACTTCTTGGTGCCATAAATACTTAGCAGTAGCATACGCTTACCATATACTAGATCAATTTGGATTTGTCTTTTACTCAAAGTGTGAAAAATTTCGATTTCAAAATAATTTGAATTCCAAGAACTCAACTATTTTGTACAACTCCTTCGTTGAAAAATCGCATGGCCATGACGATTAAATAATAAATATGGCTCATTTCTCATAAATTGTCCAAAAAGGTCTGATGTTATTCTGGTTTATCGTCAAGCCTATAGTCAAAGAGTCAATCTCGATAAACCTAGCATTGTTTTAACCAATAACGTGCCACTTGATGTAAAGAAGCAAATCGACCACGCAACCTTGGTACTTATTTAGAAAGTTAGAAGTATTTAAATAGTTTTTATATTTATATGTTTTTGTCAATTTAGTTAATGTATTCAAAATTTAATTAATTTAATCTCTTAATTTTGAGAATTGAAATAATTTAATCCCTTCTCTTACCTTGTCTAATTTTATTGTTCGAGTTGATGATATCAGCATTGGACATGATGATGTAACAATTTGAGAAAAAAAATTTCAAAAAAAAATATGAAATATGTCACAAGGATTAAATTAAATAAAAATTTACAATGCATAGATTAATTTGAATAAAATTGAGCTGTTTAAGAACTAAATTGAACAAAAAATTTGAAGAATATAAATCTTTGAGTAGATGATACGTATACTTATTAATAAGTCAAATATTTAAGTGTAAAAGATTAATTTTCTTATTTAATTATTTGATTCCATAATAAGTACATCAATTTATCTTCTTTGTAAAAATTAAATTTGAATTCCCCTTCTATAAAAAAATTAATATTTTATATAAATATCATGATTAAAACCATTATCACTTAAAATTTCTTTTTTTTATTAACCTTGATATTATTTTTACTGAGATTATTTCATAATCCATTTATAAAAAGAAATAAAAAGATTTAATTACCTTTTTAATATATATAAGAAAACCAAAGAAAGCCCATTAAATTCTTTAATGACAATATTTGCCAAGAAATCATCTCATTTAACGTTGTGATTTTGAGTGCTTGACAAAAATATTGCTTTTCTTCTAAGATTAAAATTCAAATTGCATTTATTAGTTTTGAATTAAACAAATATTTTCATTGTAACATTTCTACAAATATATTGAAATTCCATTGTTAAATAATCGAGAGAATATGTATAATTTTGAAATTTAAGTGGATGTTTCTAAAATTGAAAGTGTATTACTTTTTGTCTCTTCAAATCATTCTCTCTTAAAAAAGGCTTAATATGACTGTAGTTGTGTTTACCAATGTTTTAGCAGTTCAAACTAGTTAATCTGGCGTTTCTTGATTTGATTTTTTAAACTCACTCCAAAATCAAGTCTGAAGATTGCCTGGTAATTAGGGTAACTATGTAGCTCGTGCAACCTACATATGGAAACTCTTTTTCTTGGAACTAGCTGTGGATACAGTTGAAATCCCTATCAAAAACTTGCTCCATTTTCCTGTAACATAGACTAAGAAAGAATGATAATCTAGTTCAATTAACAATAAACACTCAATCAAAGGCACCACTGCACAAAGAGAAAGAGAAAGATGATTTCTTGGTAACTGTTTTGGTACCATAAATATGTAGTAGTAGCATATGCTTATCATATTCTAAATCAACCTAATTTGATTTGGATTTGACTTCGACTCAAAATGTGAAAAATTTCATTTTCAAAATCATTTGAATTTGAAGAATTCAATTACTTTATACAACTCGTTCAGTGGAAAATCACATGGCAATGACGATTAATAATAAGTAATGGCTCATTTACCATAAATTGCCCAAGAATGTCTGATATTATTCATGTTTATTGTCAAGCTTATAGTTAAAGAGTCAATCTAGATAAACTTAGCATTGTTTTAAGTAATAATGTGCCACTGGATGTGAAGAAGCTGATCGAGGATGCAACCTTGGAACCTAATGGTCAAAGTGCTCAAATAGTTCTTGTAGTTATGTGTTTTTGTCAATTTAGTCGTTATATTTAAAATCTAATTAATTTAATATTTTGATTTTGAGAATTGAAACAATTTAATCCTTCTCATTATGTCATCCAATTTTACTGTTAGAGGTGATGACATTAGTGCAGGCATGACAAATTTTGTTGATGTGACAATGCCACATGGCATTGAGATGATGACATGGCAATGCCACATGGCACTGAATGATAACTTGATAATGCTGAAATGGAAATTCGAGAAAAAAAATTTTGAAAAAAATCTAAGTCACATCATAAGGACTAAATTGAACAAAAAAGTATAATACATAAACTAAATTGAATAAAATTGAGATGATTAAGGGTTAAATTGAATAAAAATATTTAAAAAATATGAATCGTTTAGTAGATTCGTATGCTTATTAATAAATCAATGTTAATAAGCCCAATATTAAAAAATATTAATAAGCATATATATCGTATTATAAGAGCCTAACACTTTATAAGGGCAAATCCTCAAGGGTTTATACTTTCTACATAAATCAATGTTGAGTGCTACAAAAGAAGTGAAGGGATCATGGGTTTGGAGTAGTATTCTTGAAGGCAAAGACTTTTAAGAAATAACCTATTTTGGTCAATCATGGATAGAGAAAGCATTGATACTTGGAATGAGCTGGATTTTAGGATTAAGAGGACAAATAACTTTTCCAGGTGCTGTGGGCTTTGCTTTACCATGTAAGATTGTTGAAATTACTAATAAAGACCAAGGTACACGAGAATTATTTGACATAAAGAATCGAATATCAACAAAGTAAAGGATGCAATTCGAGAGATTCTTATGTGTAATCAGGAAGGGGAAAATGAACTGATATGGCCCCATAATGAAAAGAGGAGAATAAGTTGAGAAGTCAGGTTATAAGGTGATAAAAAAGATTGCTAATCAATCTTTTAATATTACTCTTTTTAATTCTTATTTGTTCTATGAAAAGAGTTTGGAAAGAGATTTGGAAGTTGCAGATTCTTAGTAAAGTTAAGGTATGTCTATGTAGATTGTGCTTGAATGTCTATTTCTGGAAAAAGCATTCTACTCAAAAGAGGACAATACAGTAGAGAACATGCTATGATAATGTGATTTGACAAGGCAAGTATACGAATAGAGGGTTGTTACGGCCTTAAAATAACCAGAGAAGAGATCAAGACCTTTGAGTAGCAGTTAATGGATGTTTAGTCGTCTGAATGAGTTGAATGAGGAAGAAAGTAAGATGAAAGTTAATGGGGTAAAATACAAAAATCCAATTCAATATGAATCCAAATCCCCTGCCTTCATTTCGTACCTTAACTCTCATAAATTGCCACATATTTATTATTTTATTATTAAGTCAATACATATTTGATTTTAATTTTTTTAGTCTTTGTATCTCTCTTTTCCTTTTCCACATCCTCATTTATTCTTTGCAATAACAACTACTCCTTTGGTTGGCTCTTGCAACTTCTAGGTGTCCTAGGTTCATCATTTTCGAAACCAAAATGGAAAAAACCTTAAATTTCAAAATTCATTCCTCTAAAATGTGTTGCTATCTTTTTTTCTTGGTCAAAAAGCTTTTTTGCTCCTAAAGGAAACACTCTTGCTCACCACAAAAAGGCAATTCTAGCATATTCATCAAGATTAGGAAAATTGGTAATTCTTTTAATGATCCAAGTAACGAATTCTCAAAAAGAAAGCAATCTTGTCATTAAGCTATTTGCCTTGTAATGACAACTTGAAAGAAATCCCCTCTTCCACTTAAGGAATATATCTAAGGGATTCTTAAGCAAGAAGCAATTTTCCTTTAAAGATCCAAGTAAAGGATTTTCAAGCAAGAAGCAATTTTCCTTTAAAGATCCAAGTGAGGGATTTTCAAGCAAGAAGCAATTTTCATCTCTATTTTTTTGTCCTTTATCTTTCGAGCAAAGTATCTTAAAAATGACTACTAAAAATAAATTAAAAAAATAGCAGATTTAGGGCTTCCTTCTCCTTGTATAATTTGTAGGCTTATCAATGGTATTTTTTAAACTGTAGTCAGCGTTAGTCAGCTTAATATAAGGCAAGTTGTATCTAAAAGAAAATGAGCTGTGAAGAGATAATGATGGGAAAAAAATGAGAAAGAAAGATAGAAAAAATTAAAACCAAACAAGTATTAACTTAATAATAAAACAATAAACATGTGGCAATTTGTGAGAGTTAACGTAGGGAATGGGGCAAGAAATGGGCAAAAGATTTAGATTCTTTCAATACACCTCTAAAGTACACTTTGATCTCTCTTGTTTTAAAATGCATTATTGACCCCCTTGATTATTTATTATCATTAGTCAATATTTATCTATCAATATGAAAAGTCATAATTACCTTTAAATATTTTTTTTTTGAAATTTCAGCCTGTATTAATCCATAGATTGGTAACAATTATTCACCTTTGGAAACAAAAGGATTTTAGATGTTGCACATGACATTTCCCTTGGTATAACAATCCAAAATCATTCCTATGAGCCTTAAATATCAACTTAAAAGAAGTTCAAAAATCCAAGTTCTCCCAAATTTAGGGAAATGCCCAAACATTCAATTATAAAAGGAGAGAACCTTGTAACCAAAACCTCTACACAACCACATCTTAATATAGCATTCAATATGCTACCCCACTTAATACTTACTCTCTACTAGTGCTTCCATCACAAAATACATAGAAAGATCAACATAAGAAAAATAAGATCACAGGTGTCTCAAGAGCAAGGTAAACATTAAGAAAAA